AGTGTGCAATTAGGAATAAGCAATAAACGCTGGCCTAGCCAGCGACATCCACATCCAATTAGCGAATGAAATAGAACACACCCTTCCAGCATTGTATTTACATCAGGAAATACATATTATTACCACTGCAATGAGTTATGTGGCAAATCATTAATGTTATCGAAGTTCCAGTCTACAAAACTATTCAAGGAGTAGCTGCTGGATATTATGCAAGAAGAGGCGATATTTCTGAAGAAGGGTCTAGGCCCGAAACGTCAGCCTTCCTGCTCCTCTGATGCTGCTTGGCCTGCTGTGTTCATCCAGTTCTACATCTTGTTATCTCAGATTCTCCAGCATCTGCAGTTCCTACTATCTCTGATATACAGCTGGTGCTGTTTGGCAAATTTGAGTTTGTATTCTAATCTACTGTGATTCCTTACTTCCTAATCTTGTTCTTAGGTGAGGTTCTCGCAATGGTTGGAGAGTGGGAGGTGACTGTGTGCTCTGTACCAATCAAGTGATCATAAGACAGGAATGATCATCAATCACTGTTAGCACAGGCCTGCTGGATGCCTGTTCCTTCAAGCTATTTGACACTTGTGTACTAATTATAAGGAAAGAACCAAGCAGACAAATATATTACTATCCGAAGAGATAATTTCAACATCCATACTCAACTACACTAGCACCTACATCCTGGGTTTCTTTCAACGAGCCTAATTATATGGGATCAATGGAGAAAAAATTCTTAAAAAGAATACAGAAGACTGGAATGATGTGGGCATTCATAAGTGAAGCTACTGCTGCATTGCATTCAGCTTTTGGTCAGCTGATTGTTTGACCTTTGAGCTATCTCTGTTCTCTAAAGTTGTGCTTCTTTGAGATGCTTGATTGGCTCTCTCATGTGAAGCTGACCTTCGATCCAACTGAATGCACAGCGGGAAAGGAAACCAGCAGAATAAGAAAAACAAACCTTCATGCTGTGTCCAGATCTGGGACAAGAGGCTAAATTCTGCAATTATTAAAGCTGTGAAGCCTGTTAAAAGAAAGATATTATGCCATAGACAGGCTTATAAGTAATAAACAGCATCTTGAAATTGCAATTGCTTTCGGCAGAAATGTCATTTGGTCAGCTCCATTTTCCTGCTTTAGGGAGCTACTTGTGATAACTGTGCATGGCACAAGCAGTGGAGACTGTGTATATAGACCAAGTATTTTTTTAAAGCACAGCAAGCTTTTAAGTTCAATTTCAACTCAGTAGCAAATCAGACACTCAGTGAGGTGTCCTTTAGGTTTCGATGAAAATAATGTTTTGTGAAATGATGGGTTGGGAGTTGCTCTGAAAGGGACATTTTGCATTTTTCAAGTGGATTGCATTAAATGTATTCAGTCAGATAAAAGTAAATGTCTGCAGCTATCCATGCAGACATGCCACACACTGCTGTCATTCTCGTCAATCTAAAGATGATAGCTAATGTTCTAAGTTTGGGTGAAACTACTGGAGTGTGCATTAAGCTAGAATCTCAAAGATAGGTTATTTATCATCATAATAGCCTATTACAGATAATAGGTTGCTACTCATCCAAGAGACAGTATACATATATATATATAAATATACATATATATAATTGCAATGGTCTCTTTCACTATGAATTGGCTTGCTCTCAGTCATTACACTTCCAATTTTAAGCTAATTTATAAAATATTAATCGCAGTCTGTGAGCCACATGAATGTGAATGATAACTCCCTTACATTCCAAAAAGGAACATTAATATTTGCAGACAAATTTGTTGCCCCTTCCTGGAAATATCAAACAAAACAATCATTATTGCTGCAGTGCTATTCCCACATGAAGTGAGTTATTTTTTCTTCTTGATTATTATCTATCATTTTGTATGATTTAATGACAGGCTTTAAGTAGCTAATATATCATCTTTAATATAATCATATGAAAATAAACATGCTCAAATATGTCATACTTTTTCTAGAAAAAAAGTCATTAAATTATTGACATGACTCAGAAAAGTAAATGACTTATGAACTAGATGATGTAAGTTGAATCAATTAATTCAATTTATGGTTAATTAGTCATGATTTCCGTGATGAATTGAACATGAAAATTCTACTGACTTAGATGAGAAAATCTTCAAGTTTTTGCAAAGTTTTCCACTCCCCAAACGCATTCCCAGCTCAGTTCCTTACGAGTACACTGGAATTAAAATCATCAATTCTCTACTGTCTTGTTATTATGGATTTATAGGACACACTTTATAATCAGGTTAACTCATTTTACAGAGTATCTGCCCACTTAATATTGCACATCAATTTTTAACATGTAAAATATCTAGAAAGTGAAGTGTGTCCATGAATAGGCAGGAAATTCATTTAAATATTAAAGCATAATCAGCCTATCCTGCATGACAGGCCCCAAATTTGTGTACAGAAAACATTCTTCTCATAAATATTCATCACGTTGTGCAACATATAAACATTGCTGACAAAAGAGGCATGCTTCCGAAGCATTTTGCCTTTCACTTATCAGGATAAACACAAGAATGTCAAATTTAAAATCATCATCACAATTTATACTGCAGGGGAAAAAGGAATTTGGGAAATCGTCTCAGATTTGAATTACCTGAAGATCCCATAGTTCCCCATTGCTTTTTGTCATGGCAATACTTTAGCCAATTAGCATTGTGAAATGTTGGAATGATTTGAAGTTAGGTGTTCTTATGTTTTCCTGATGGATGCAAGATTAAAAAAAAAAATCACTAATGTCTCCCCTTTCAGCAATATTCCACTTATGAACATTTGGGAGGGAAGGTAACATAACCAATATTATTGAAGAACACAGTGATGTTATGGCAAACATAGTTTAGCTACATCACTTTTTTTTTCTACAAGAGTCTGGGCTGTATGGGCCTTTAAACTTATTAAAATGTTCTTTCCCAAAGCAGACAGATTGGGCTGTTGTGCTCAGCTATTGGTATCATGAGATTATAGGATATAGGAACAGGATATAGGAACAGGATTAGTCCATTCACCCATCAACCTTGTGCCGTCATTCAAAAGGATTATGGCTGATTTGATTATGTGTACCTTTCCAGCACTTCCCTGCCCATGCCCAGTTACCTGTTATACTCTTGTTGGTTAAAAATCTGCATAACTCAGCCTTGAATGTATTCAATGACATGCACCATGAGAGAGAATTCCAAAACCAAAATTGCTCCTCAATGCCATTTTAAATGGGAGACCCTCATTTTAAAATTGTGCACCTCACCCCATCTTCTCCCAACCTAACCTACGAGAGAGAACATCCACTCAACATCTCTCCTGGCGCATCGTCTCAGTATTTTATGTGTTTCAATAAGAGTTTGTTAGATTCAGTTCTCATCCTTCTAAACTCCAATGATCATAGGCCTAACCTGCTCTTTCTTTCTTTATAAGACGACCCCTTTATCTCAGGAATAAACTTACTGAACGCCTGACTAATGATATGAGACTGTTTGAGCCCACATGTAGCAATACCTGGTCAATGTTCACACTGAAAAGTGGCAAGTAATATTCACACCTCACAGTGTCAGGTACTGACCACTTCCAAAAACAGAGTCTAACCATCCCTTAACAATTTGAAAAGCAAACTGCAGCAGTTTGGCAAAGCTTTGCAAAAACTCTTTCCATTTCTACGATTTCTACCTGCCTAATATAAAAGGCAATCTGGTAAATGGGAACACTATCACATGCATGGTCCCTGCCCATATCACTCACCATACTGACATGTAAAGATATACCATTACTTCATTATTGCTGAGTATAACTCCTAGATCTCCCTACCTCACAGCACTGCGAGTGTACCACCTTAAGGACTGTCGCGGTTCAAGATAGCAACTGACCTCATGCAAAATAAATGGTGGCCTTTCCAATAACGCTCACATCTTTCGAGTGAAAAAAAACATGATCGTTCTTTCAGAAACATTTAAAGGAAAGAATGTCAGGATTTGAAGGATAACGAATGATAGAAGCTGCGCCAAGATATTCAACAGTTAGCATAACATGACTAGCTATACTTATTAAATTTCCATGATCCACACACGCAGGCAATGTCACCCACCATTTAAAGACTATGGAAAACTGCCTTAAACAGCACAGAATCAGATGCGGGGTTGTAATTCTCATAACTAATGGTTGACTTGAAATTCATATACTTTTGAAATAAGTCAAAGCTCTAATAAGAGAGTTGACATTCTAAGAAATATATTTTTATTATAATGACAGTGGAAAAACAGTCATACAATCACAGAATCCCTAGAGTGTGGAAGCAGGCCATTCAGCCCATCAAGTCTACCCCTCCGAAGAGCATTCCACCATCCACCTCCCCCTTCCGCCCCTCTCTATCCCTGTAACACTGCACCTCCCATGGCCAATCCACCTAACCAGCACAGCCTTGGACTGCGGGAGGAAACCAGAGCACAGGGAGAATGTGCAAACTCTACACAGACAGTTGCCCAAAGGTGGAACCGAAACCAGGTTCCTGGCGCTGTGAGGTAGCAGTGTTAACCAGTAGGCCACCGTACCACCCATGGTCCTCTTACCTTGTTATGGATTGTACAGGGGATTTCCTTAAGTGCATAGTCTCCTTAATTTTTTTTCCGTGAGGTTGTGCGCGCGCGCACACACACACGCACAAACATGCATACACGCACACATACAAACACACAAACAGTAACTCAGTGAGGCCAACTTGCATATAGATTGCGCAGGATTTACAGGGAAAATTGAAGTTGACGAAGCAGAGTGACAATGAACAGTGAGAGTTATGTTGAAATTGCTGAGATGAGCAGAGATTCCAAGAAAATTTCACAGCGAAGAGATATAAATGGCAGTATGGTAAAACGATCACAGTAACCTTGGCTGAGCCCTACTGGACTGGAAGAATCAAATTACTTCCATGATGTCACCTGTAGGAGTAGTTGCAGCCAAACAACAGTTTAAAATATTGAAAAACTTTAAATTTAGATACCTTTTGGCCCAAATACGCACTTGGTGCACTCCAGTAATACTGCCGAGGTAAAACCCGGCTCCCTTCAAATTCATTTATGGTCACCTGCTGTCGTCTATCCCCCTGCTTGGGGAGGATTTTTAAAGTACCTTGTAAATCAGTAAGGAACCAGCCAAACATGTCAGTCACCTAAAATGCAAAATTTAAGGAAAAAATGCATTATTTCCCTTTTTCAAATTTGGCTAGACATCTTACTGCTAGCATGTAGTATACATTGAAAAGCATGATCAAAAATGAGACCACTTGTAATTTAAAAAAAGACAAACAATATAACATGGTGATCAAACACATCTCTCTAAAAATCTCAGTCCTGAGGTTCTGCAAGGGCTTTATTCTTCCCTTGTGCTCACTTCACCCAACACGCACACCCTCCAGAAAAATGCCATAATTTGCTGTAAACAGCTGTACCCTGTCTGCTTATGTCAGTCCTTTTCCAAAGTTAAAGAGGACACACTCATGGAAATTCAAGGCCTCATATGCCTTCATGCAGACTGACTGAATTGATACTGAATTTTATTTTTAACCATGTGATTTTTTTTTCAAAGGATTTCAATTGCCATGCACATTGAGGGTTTGTATGATGAAGTGAGTTTGTCAGCCTTAGCTGAGTATCTCGGGAAGAGAAGAAGATATTTCCTATTTGACCTGTTCAGGAATGTTATTACACAACTCTAAAACCAGTAGGACTTGAACCTGGATCTCCTGGTTCGGAGGTAAGGACACTACCGCTGTACCACAATAGCCCCTTGGGGAACAGCAGCAATTGGCCAAAGATGATATCCTTCAGCTGACTGAGCACAAATTAACACTGCTGAAGGGTGAGTTTCTGATTGGGTTCACCCAACTTATAGGAATTAATTGGTCAAACCTAACTGGAAGTGTGATAATGCTTTCAAACATGTCTTACGGATATGACTTAGAGAAAATTAAAGCAATATTTCTCTAAGATCAATTACTACCAGCCACCTATCTAAGCAAGCCCTGGTCACAGCACTAATAATTTTCTATCCATGTAATTGATGGAAATTTAAAAGTACTGCAACCACAATTTCCCAAAATCCATGGTTAATGGATAAACTCTCTGACTTTAGTGTAAGCGCAAAACATTATCCCGCACTCCTCAAAAGCAGTGAAACATAGATATTAGCCAAAGGTTATCTTGTCACTTGAGAACACTTACATTACTGTATCTCCATTGAGAGCACTCACAGTCACTAGATACTCCTGAACAGAAACACCTTTCACAACCATAGTAGTTCTCTGAGCGCAAGTTGAAGAATCCTGCTTTACATTGGTCACAATTTTCTCCTTCAGTATTGGCCTGGAAGTAGCAATCATAAACCATGTTAACTATTTATGATTAATTTTTAAAGTTATTCATGTAATAAAAGACACAGATCATTCCAGGAATAAAAAGAGAGATATTCTTTATGTCAGATCATTTTGCTTGTATCTGATAAAATCACATTATAACACATGTCCCTCTTAACAATGTTATGATTCTGACAGACAGTAACACTGAACAATCAAAACCCAGTATGAAACTTGGCTTGATAAATCGGAAGCATTATTTTGGCAACTTGGTTACTGTGATGAGTGGTCTGAATCATATTCACGAGGTGCTCAAAGGTTTATTACACAAGATAAGAAAACTAAGATTCAACACTTTTCCTAGAAACATTGATAAAATATAAGCCAGAGATCTATAACTCCTATCTCAACTTTAAGATATGTTATTCAACTGACTTGTTCCGGTTTTGCTGATCTAAAAACTTCTTTTCAGCTCTGAGGCCTAGAGACTTTTCAGTCCCAAAAGCCTGACTCCACTAAAACAAAGCAAGTCAGTCACTTTCACAGAAGCGAAAGCAAAATCCACCTTACCTCAATTTTAAAATCCAAATTCCCAAACAATAGTAATATAAACCTTTATCACAAAAGACAGTTTTGAAGTATCACTCATATTACAATCAAAATGTTAAATTGATACAAAGATGTAATTGTTCAGAAAGGATTAATAAATGCACTGTGATTTCCCTCTTGGCTGTTAGAACGTTTAAAAAAAACTGAACTGTTGGCTAGTGACATGTAACTAAATTAGTCATTGCTTAAAACTAATAGGATCTAACACCAGAAGCCTCTCGCAAGTCATTTAAATTCACAAGCAATCACTGAGGTAGTGACCACAATGATATGTTCACCATGGTCCATAGCAGAATTTTGTGCCCTCCGAAAGTTGTGTGCCCTTTACTGAAGCTGGTGCACAGCAACTGGGGAGCCCACTGTTGAGTTATCATCACCATGATTAAATTAGTGGTAGGATGGCATAGGAACAGTGTTCCTCCTCCCCAACCAGACCCTCAAGTAGGCAATCAATGTCTATTTAGGAATCTCATCTTGCTTCTACATTCAACCTGATCACAGTGTCCAACACTGGGAAGGGGAGCCCACTGGTGGCCACCCTCCGCACTAGCTGCATGTCTCTTCAAACCCTCCTCCCCCTCAAATCCCATTTTGTTATGCTCTTCTTGCCATCACTCACCTGTGCATAGGTTCCTCCTTGATCCAAGGCCTCAGATAGCTGTATTACCAGCATCAGCCACCAATTCAACTGTGGCACTGCTGAGTACAGAAAGGCTGACAGCCTCTGACACAGCATCAGCTCTTCACAAGCAGGAATTTTGTCCCTGGGGTCCTTGATCCAAGCAGAAGGCCCACTGCTGGCCTAGCAAAAGCCTGAACGACATAACATTGTGATGGGCCTTCCCAAAAAAACATGCAAGAGTCTCGCCAGATCTCTAGCCAACAGTCAAAACTCCCACCATCTCCCTATCATTTTGTCCAATTTTTCAGCTGACATTTTCAGTGCAACAGCATCACAGTCGACCAACAAAAGTCATTGATTTTAAATCTGAAACTTTGGATGCCTAAAAGAAGCCTTACTCACATATACTGATATGCTGCCTGTGCCAAATTGGCTCTCCAATGCAACTCATTGGTTGGTATTTCTAGCTTGTACCCACATCATCACAGCAGTTGGAAATAATGTATGAGAAATCAAGCAGGAAATTATCATAGTCAATGTTCCCAAAGATAATCCCACAGAAACAAAAAACAGTAAGTATTGCACATAAATGACATTTATAAGTTGTCCAGAGTAGAATTTACCAACCTTTTCAGTTTATCACTCACTAATTCTTACACTTTATGAATATTCAACTTTCAACAACATTGTGAAAGTCCATATACTTGTAACATATTTAGCTGATGAACAGTTAATGATATTTTGATGAAATAATATCTGCATTTTCTGTTTTCCTCTCTTTATTTGCAAATACATTAAAGTGCCAATTTAATTATGGAAAAACAATACACTACCTTGCAAACACATGACCCAATGCATGGGTCATCGTTCAGGCTTCCATCAATACTACAGCTACATGGTACACAATTTGGATATCCAGTGAAACCAAATGCACATCTATCACATTTATCTCCACCATAACCAGCCTTGCAGTGGCAAGACCCAGGAAGCAGACCTAGAATGATAATGAGAATTTGCGAAGTAAAAATCCAAATATGCCACATAATCGTGAAGCAGAAATGTGATATATATTTCATAAGGACATTACCTCCTTCAATGTGCTTGATATCCTTAATACACTTATTATGAAAGGACCCAACTGGATCGCACAAACAAGGTATACATGGATTTGGTTCATAAGGAGAAATCTGGAGAAAGATGTGAAAGCTTGATAGAGGAAAATAATGTGTATATTTCTTTGCTATAACATAATATCACAATTTTTGATTTGTACTACCGTACACCATAATGCACTTTCATACATAAAATGAACGACACCCTTCTCCCCCTCCCCCCAAAATTTGCCAATGCTAGGCTGGGTCAATTGATGTTAAGAATGCTGCCCTCCCTGTCCCAGAATCCTGCAAGCAAATATGACAAAGTTTGCTGTACAGGCTCCCAGTGTGACACTGCCCCGCCTGCTGTTGTTATTAAACCAAACCAAGGGCTTAAATTAGCAGCAGGGCAGAAAGGTTATCCTCAAGGCTGTCTGCTCCAGACTTAACTGGGGCAAAGTAGAGAAGACAATGAGGTCCCAATCCTGCACCGTCCAACCCAATTAAATACTCAAACTCATCTCAGTTATGGGCATTGATCTTGTATGACCAACCTGTGCCACTACCCATCATGTGGCACAGTGGCTAGCACTGATACCTCACAGCGCCAGGAACCTGGGTTCAATTCCACCCTTGGGCAACAGTCTGAGTGGAGTATGCAAATTCGCCCCGTGTCTGTGTGGGTTTCTTCTGGGTGCTCCGGTTACCTCCCAAAGTTCAAAGATGTGTGGGTTAGGTGGATTGGCCATGCTAAATTACCCATAGTGTACTGGGATGTACAGGCTAGATGGGTTAGTCAGGGGAAATGCAGGGTTGGAGGGATAGGATATGGGCGTGGGTCTGGGTGATATGCTCCTCGGAGGGCTGATGTGGACCCGATGGGCCGAATGGCCTGCTTCCACACTGTCAGGATTCTATGTTGTATGAGCTCTCTTTGCAATTACTCACCGTATGTATATTTGTAGCCACCATTCCACCATAGTTAGGATTTGCAGAGCCTGGTTAGTATAGCATGGTAGAGGAAAAGCATTTGATAGTCTAACATACTCATTTATTGCATGATAGCAACTGTGAACTCGGATATACATTGTTAATGAGACTGTAATGAAGACCCAGTTGGTAGACCTGACTCCCTCAAGATTCTTAGTTGTTCTCCCACAAATCCCATATGGCATCACCATGGTGGATTTTGCCAGCACTATCTATTTCGGACCCATACACACTTCTACAACAATTAAAACATGACCTGAACTTTTGGTGGTCTGCACTTAACCAGCAGCTCAAAAGGAGGTGTAGGGAGGTAGGAGGAATGGAAATTCTGGGTCATAATCTTAAATAAGGAAAGTTCACATAACTTCATATTTCTGCCCATTGATTTAAAGGTGCAAGATATTGTGGGTACCCATGAATTTCTGATGGGAAAGCCCACTGGGCATCACGAGTCTTGGATATTAACTTCCTTATATTTTTAAATGAGAAATAATGTGAACAAAAGGCATTGAATCCAATCCCATAACTTCGTTGAGATTAAAAAAAAGAATACTTAAGTATTCACAATTCTGGTAACTTCTGAACAAATATAGCTTCAAAATCTAAATAAAATTCTGCTCCATTATGTTAAATATTAGTAATTTCGAACAATGTACACAATCATTTCTTGTTAATTTCCATATCCAACTGTTATTGTACAAATTTAATGATGATCACAAATGTACGACCATTTTTATCTGTTTCCAAGTTAGTTCCACATGCTATGTGTAGATGCTCCACCTATAGAAGTATTGTTGTGAAACAAAAGTTTCTGTAATGCAAATTTAACCATGATCATTGTGTAAATCCTCAGATTTGAGAAAAAACAATTCAGCAGAAAAAGTTCCTTTGTTAACGTACCCATTCTGGTCTGAAATATTCATCAATGCAGGTCTCACAGTTTATCCCTGTTGTATTGTTCACACAATCAATGCATACACCACCGCCAATGTACTCTCCCTTTATATTTAAACTCTGGCTCCTGTTTGCTACATCTTCATCATAGTAGCAATCTTTAGCTTTTCCATGGCAATTACATTCTGAAATGATAAAGTTTGATAAATGATAAGACAAAATAATGTCACAAATCTTCACTTGAAATAATTGTTCATTCAAGTGGGGTGAACTTATTAAGCATGATTTTCCTTCCTTCAACTTGTAGAACATTTCTCTTAGACCATAAATTCCCTCTAAACACTGCCTTAGACACAGAAGCACAAAGCAGAAAGATTACCAACAGTCTAGTCAGAAGTATGTGCACCTAGATGGCATCAGGCTATTAATCTCTGGGTCTTCCCTCCCCTTATTTTGGGAAATATGTGCTTCCCTTCAACATTAGACTTTATTATTAAGAGCAGAAATTGCCGGAAAAGCTCAGCAGGTCTGGCAGCATCCATTGAGAGAAATCAGAGCTGACGTTTCAAGTCCAGTAACCCTTCTTCAGAACTTCAGATCTCTAGTTCTGGAGAAGGGTCACTGGATCCGAAACATTAACTCTAATTTCTGTCCATGGATGCTGCCAGACCTGCTGAGCTTTTCCAGCAATTTCTTTTTATGTTTTTTATTTCCAGCATCTGCAGTTCTATCAGTTTTTATTTCGGCTTTGTTAAGACTGAAATCCTCTGCATGAACTATTGTGAAAAGAATCACGGCATATAGGTGTTTACATTGAAAGAAAATCGAATTCTAACAAAATATACATATATTTCATGACAAATATTACAATGTAAGACCAGGTTCCAGAGGGTTGATGGGGGTCTCAACCACTTAAGAATTAGTGGATAACCCAATCAGTTCCATGGAGAAGGCCAGACAGAATCAAATGCCGCGCAGGCTCTTAAGTGGCCACTGCTGAAGCTTCCCTCAGATTGAACTCCCAGATTACAGAAGGTCAACATGCTGAGATCTACTGACCCAGTCGGATGCCGTCCCTTCTCCATGCCACAAGTGCCAGTGCGTGCAGCTGGCAACAGAGACGCCAGGTGATTGTGGGATCTCAAACCAAAAGCGAGGGAAAGTTCAAACAAACAAAAACAGAAAGGGCAGGAGAAATCAGCAGGTCTGGCAGCACTTATGGAGAGAAAAGCAGAGTTAATGTTTTGAATTCAGTGACACTTATTTTAGATTTCCAGCACGCACAGTTCTTTGTTTTATTTTTAAGTGACTGAATGTTGGATGGCAATCATGGGATGGTATTCACAGGAGAGCAGCAGTGGGGGGAGAGGGCCAGGACAGACAGCAACTCCCTGTCCAATGCTAGGTTCCTCGATTGGGAATACACAGTACTTGCTGGATAGATGCCAAGAGCACAGGAAATCCATTTGATCCCTGAGCCATGTTAAATTGTGGTTGATTCAGGGAAAAATGGGCATCAATTTGTTCACTAATGAGCCAAATTCACAGTCTGCTGCTGGTGGTGAGGAATGCCAGATCAACCTCTTCTGCTATTTATCAAGGGAAGGTTTGCCACTATGCAGAGACTGGTAGAGTGGCTCTCCCTCAACTCAGCATGTCCAGCCATCAGGTTTCTCACTGCAACAGACTGCATTAAATCCAGCCCATAGTCACAAGTGGAAAAGATCTTTCATTCCATCTTATTTCATCTATCCTGAGAAAACCCAGAGCCCAAATTGGATCCAATATTTTCTTAAACGATCCTTGCTTGTGCTTTTAGCTCCTCAATACAATCTGAAAATTATGTATGAGATAGAAAACATATTCCTGATACCAGTTCCAATTTTATCTTTTATGGGTTTGAAACCCTTTGACCCTGCCCTCAAAGTGCAATGTGTAGACATAATCTACATTTCCCATTTCTATTATTTACAAAGTTCTGTAAGATCAGTTGTGAATGATCTCCTTCTAGATTTAAAAACTTCACTTAAATCATCTTCATCATTTCTGCCTCTAATATTTGAATGTTTCTTTGTGCTTTGGTTACCAGAAATTGATCCAGTATTCTAAGATATGCCCACATCTTTTAAATTGTAGATGTACTCATTGTTGAGTGTTTTAATAAGATAGCACATGTTTTAATGTGAAGTTTTGCATGCAATTCTTGTGCCATAACACTTAACCACTTCCAATGTCATGCTATATTTCCATCTCGCGGTTTTTTTTTTGTATTTGCCTGTCACACTTTTCCGTCACATTTAACTTGATGGGCAATGAAATTTATCTTGTGTTGTAACTGAATACGGATAATAATTCAACAACAGCTTCCTCTATCCAACCAAAAAGCAGTGGCTGGAGGCCGAAGCTCCACAGCAACCCCCAGATCCCAACCACATATTGCTGCTATTTGTTCTTTGTCACTCATGACACTTAACCTCCAAATATAGTTCCAAATGGTCTCTGCTATGCAGAGCAAAGTTATCAGCCATGCAGCAAACAATAATCAAACAGAGCTCTCCGTGCAAGTATATTGCGAGAAATCATTAGAGCCATGCAGGAGTCTGAACCGTTTTTTAGAGACTTCAATGGTACGCCATACCAGACGAGGGCTGTAGTTAGCCCCTGGATCTAATTACAATGGAACTTTTGTGGCCAAACTTGCACTCGTAATAGCGTCATGAGCCAAATGTGCAGGAGATAACGATCATCTCCAAGCAGTCAACTTAGCACTTGCTGTGCAGAAGGAAGGAGTGTAGAATGGACAATAAACACACCAGATTGAACATCACAGCAGCTGGCAGAAAATCAGGGACAGATTTTATGATGTGCCACTGATCATCACACACCAGCAATTCATGAAGGCAGTGGCATACTGTGAAGAAGCCTGCAGGACAGGAAAGCCTCTCAAACTTGTTCTAGCATTCAATCAAATCACAGCTGATCTGTGCAGCAAATTCATCTACCTAGCTTGGATCCATTTAGAATCTTATTTTGAACATGTATTTATGGGAAAAAAAACATTATTGAAGTGATTAAATGATGATTTACCTTTTCTTTAAAATGTTTATATATTAGATTCTCTTGAGTGATCAATCAGGATTTATCATTTTCCTAGTCCTTTGTAATTCTCCCTGCTAGTTTTTGCTTGCTTTCCTTATTCTTGATTCGAGGGATATGGAGGGTCTTGGGGTGGGTGGGGTGGGTGGGGTGTAGACCGGGTAACGGGGAGGAGCACTGGGCAGCCGGGCGGAGCCAGTACTGACAGCGTCCACTGCAAGCTCTGTTCATTGCCACAACTTGTTGCTCTCTACGTAATCCAACAGGTTTGATCGACACACAGAATGGGCAGAGTCAGTGTCAGTATCATGGGCACAAGCTTAGATGCACAAGTGATGAATGCTTGGACACTGTAGGGGATCGGTACGCAGCAGCAACTCCGTTTTGATGTTATAGCTGCCTACTGGCTGCTAAAACACAGATATATTGCTCACTTGGGCAAATAGCAAGGGATGCTGGCTACATTGGCCAAGTAAAACTCTGAAATCATAAGAACCACACGCCTGACACAGTAGCCAGGTGCTAATAACATTAGCATAATGTAAAAGACAACAGTTATCATGGCCAGACATACCCACAACAATTTATCCACCAAATAAAGGAGGGCCCAGACAGAAAGGCACAAAGGAACAAAACAGTAACAAGCCACCCAAATGATTGACAATGTTTCAAACTGTTAAGTGTGCCTCCCTGATTGGCCAGAACTACAGAAAGTTACATAAAACCATCAGAAAGGTATAAAAACAGGGTTCGCATGCACACTGCTCTCTTGAATCTTCTGGAGGCCTTCCAAGGAGACCAGCATGGCAAGAGGCAGAGACCAGCTAACCATCCAGAGACAGAGAGAGAGGATGAAAGCAGCTTCACAGACCCAGTGACAGAGGCAGAGAGACAGTGACTACATAATTCTACAAGAGACCAAGGAAGTTTTGTAACCTTCACGGGCCAGATAAGATTAGACAGAGTACGTTTAGTATTAAAAATTATTGTAACATTTTTCCTAATAAAGTTGGGACTGTTTTGCATTTGTACTGGCTTGTGTTTGTTGTGATTTGACCACTTTGGTATTGTGAGACACCTGGGAAAATTCATTCATAACATTCTGGTTGGAGTTGTCTTCCTAAGACAGCAAGGCAGATGTAGGAGGTCATCACAGGGAATGAGGAATATCCATCGGGCCCCTCCAGAGTCTCTGCCAGGGCCATGGTGAGCTCCGAGAGAGCTGGTGAAGATGCTGTTCTGCTGTTTGGGCTGGTCTGGTGGAGTACAGTCTTTTCAGAGTGGGGTGCATCATCCTGGCCTGCCGAGCTCCGCACAATTGGAGCAGGCAATGAGGCACTGTGATATATGTTGATAAACTGGGAGAACGGAAGCCATCTTCTGAGGAGGAGCCTGAGGACATAGCTCAGTTCCATTGGGTGCTTCAAGCCCAAAAAGGACCTCATTGTCATTGGGTTCCAATAGACAAGAAATGGGTGCAGCAGACTATCATGGCCTGTCAAATAGTCGTTGCTCATCATGTTTGCATGGTGGGAGCAAACTGCAGGCTCTATTCGTTTTGTTTTTGCTCACTTTTGGCAGATGTAAATAAAAGCTAATGATTGGAATTTTCCGATTGCTTGCCTGTGTGAGATGCACCCTATTGGATAATGACAAGATGCTGGTGTCCTATAGAGATTGGAGACAGGGCAGCTGTGACTGAGAGATGGTGTTTAAATGGGATAGCAGCAGACAGATGAATTGTGTGACCTGGTGGCGAAACAGCAATGGGGGTGAGAGAATGAAGTTGTATCTATGAGGGAATGTACCATGTGCAGTGTGACTTTGTGGGGGATATTCCATTGTGTTGCCAGTGAGGGGAAATGTCAAATTGCCAATGCTTGCCCAGGTGCACAAAGCTTTACAAGAGGGCATGGGCAAAAGGCGGATGTCCAGTGAATGATAAATTGTTCCAGGAACAGCAGTTGGTAAGAATCGAACAGGAGGGATGCCATTGCAGTGGGTTAGGTAATTAATGTGGTCTTTCCACAAAACACAGCAAGAAATTATTCCCTCCTAAAAACTTGATGCAGGTTTGCCAAGAAAAACATTAAGGTTCAGCCATGCAGTCTCATTCCTTCAGGTTGTATTTTTTGCTAGGGATTATAAAACAACAAGTGAAATAAATCCACAGAGGCCGGTATCCCATCACCAAGTCACCCTTTAATTATACATGCAATGTACTTGACACTGGTCCGGCTTCCCCAGAGTCCGCTCTCAGAGCGAACAGAACCTCTGACATTCCTGTTTATATCTGTCAGCCAGGGCTCCCTGATTGGACCAGATCAACAGCCCCAATCAGGGAACTCATATTCTATGAGGTCCAGCTGGCTGACCTCATTACAATCACTTCACCACGTTTGTTTCTTATAATTTTATAAATTCTGCTTTTCCTTTCTTTTCATTTCTCCCTCTGTATTCAAGGCTACCTTTCCCTCTTTTTATGATCTTTTCTTACATACCTTATGTGACATGGTATTCACCTGCTCTAACTGAAAGTCCTTCATTGTTGTTTTCCTAATTATTTCTCAATTCTTCAATCTAAATGATTGAGAAGATGTCCACTTGGTAGCTGTGTTCACTCTGGGCCCAAGTGCCCTGTTTCCTTTTCTGGAACATTATCAATTTGCAATTTCAGCAAACGCCCATTAAACAAAAAATTTTAAAACTGTAAATATACAAGGACAAGTCAAATGAATGGATAGAGTACCCAAATGGAGCAAAACCTGAGTCTTCCTTCTTTTGCATATTTCCACATTAAAGCAACTGCCAAGTGTCACTGTCACATAGAAGGATATTAAGTTTTGGGCTCTTGATTTACACATATGTTAAATGAACATTGTGCATGGCAGCACATATAAAAGAAATGGGATATAAATTTGTTCCCTTACAGACTTAAGTCCAGAGATAATCATTGTCCATTACTCACAACCTGCAGCATTCTCTGCCTCAGAAGAATTGACATCAGTCTGTACCAAGTGGCCGGCAATGTATAATAAAAATAATAATAACAATAAAATTATTATTAATAATAAATTGTTTGCATATAGTTCATGACCCTTTTAATACCTTGCTTTGTTATAACGTGCACAATGAATGCAGTAATTTTATTTCAAGGCAGCATTAGCAACATTGTCAAGCTATGTAGGAAGATCGATCAACACTGAGCTAACTTTGGTATTCAAATAGCATTTTTTTTTAAAAAACTCAAGTCAGTTGCTTTGTTTAAGTGAACGGGAAAGAATTTTTTTTCCAAATGACGGCTATCTCTTTGAAGAATGATCTGTTTGTTTATTAACTTACGTTCACATAACTTGCTGCTGTAAAATGTTCCAGCTGCCCATGGTTTTTGATGGAATCCAGGACAGCAACGATCACAACTTTCTCCACAGGTATTGTGTTCACATTTGCAGCTAAATTTCTGTCAGATGAACAGAATACATTCATATTAAATAGACCAACTTTCATTGTTAACTTAAATAGGAGCCAAACTTATTTCACGCCCACAGCCAGCACTTGCTGCTTTGTAAAAACTGTAATAATATCCATTTTCTGCAATAAAATAGAATATATTAGGGAACAGGAACAGAATTAGAGGACACAGCCATTGAGCCTGCTGTGCATTCATTAATGATCATCGACCTCTTTCTTGCCTGATCCTCACTTCCTTTCAGCCCTGAATAGACTTAATGACAGAGTGTCCACATGCCTTTAGAGTAGAAAATGCCAGATTCCCAAACCTCTGAGTGAAGAAATTTTAGTTTGATACTTCCAGCCTCTTGTTCTGAGACTACACCCTCTCAATCTAAACTCTCCAAATTGCAAAAACAACTTCACAGCACATACCATAGCAATTCCTCTCAGAATCTTATATGTTTTAATGAGATTATCGCTCATTCTCCTAAAATCAAGAGTATTGGCTCAATCCACTGTCTACATCCTTAAAAGGGCAACCTTCTCATCCAATAAATCAGTCTTTTTGAATAACATATTTCCCAATGCCCCCTTAAGCACCTTGTCTTTCTCTGTTCATTTTCCCTGTCATAATGTAAGTCAAGGGAAATAAAAAGTGCAGCACCATTGCATGAGGACAAGTGATCTGAACAGAACTCTTGAAGTCAGATTCAAGACATTCACCACTGGACACAATACCCACTTAGACTTTAGCAACTTCAACTGACAAATTAAAGCACTAAACTTTTCCATTAACTCCAATAACACTCAGCAGAAATCAATCTGAAGGCAGTTGATGATTCCTTTAAATAATGTTAATGGAGAGTCCTTATTGCTGCTGAAGGCATGGTCAACTGCTTGGGATTAAGAGAGGAAATTAGTTGGAGCATTCAAGTCAAAGGTGACACCACTGGCAGTAAAAAGGTGTTACATATCTACATGCGTCCAACACACAGGTACAGCATCCATGCTAATACCAGTAAGTGTGCACACATGGTACTATACACAGCATTCCAGGAATGGTCTTACCAAGATCCTACATGATCATAGTAAAACCCTTTTGCTTCTATATTCTATTTTCTTTATACGAAGAGCTAATGCACCACTTACTTGATGAATCTGCCATTTGTTCTTAAAAGTGCTACAAAGTCAAATTTTACAACATATAAATTTAAATTAAGTCACCTCTCATTCTTCTGAACTCTGGGGAATGTGAGCCTGGTCTATTCAATTTTTCCTCATAGGACAATCAACCCAATGTCAGAAATTTGCTTCCATGTTATGAAATCCTTCCAAGGCTCAGTCTTCTCTAAATCTATAATATGTACCAGCATCACTCCCTTCCAAGATAATTGTGTTCCTCCAACTCCGAAAGTACGTGCATTAGTTTTATTTGCTCCATCATTGGTGGTCACAATTCAGTTGCTTAGGCCCAAGCTGTGGAATATCCTTCCAACATCTCTACCTGACTGCTCATGTGTGAGACATTCCTTAAAACATGCCTTTTTGACCAAGCCTTTGGTCATCTGACCCATTCGGCCTCATGTGACGCAGGTCATACTTTCTGATGTTTTGTGCAGCACCTCAAATGTTTTAATGAATTAAAAGTGTTCCATAGATTCTAGTTTTGTACTGCTAGTAAGAATAGTAGTTTAAGTCTTGTGAACTTTGTTATAGCAAGGCCACCAAAACTGTACACAGTACTCCAGCTATGGTCTTACCAAGGCCCTACATGATCACAGTAAAACCCATTTGCTTCTATACTCCACTTTCTTTGCAATAAGAGTTAACACACCACTTACTTGCCTAATTACTTGATAAATCTGCACGCTAGCTCTCTGAGGCCTTTGTACAAGGATATCCAGATCTCTCAACTTATCAACAATTTTCAGCCTCCCATCATTTAAAAAAAACATTTTTTTCAATGGAAAAGGATAACTTTACGTTTCTGTCTGCCACATTCTTCACCTGATACCAAAACAATCTAAATCTTGCTGCTTTTCATCGAATCCTATTTTCCAATTGAGGAACTCTTGGGCTGAGTGGATTGAGTGGGGTGACTTGCTGACAAGGTGCTTTAGTCTCCTTTGTAGCTCCTTGGCTAATAACCAATCACATAGATTAGCCAAGGAGCTACAAAGGAGACTAAAGCACCTCGTCAGCAAGTCACCCCACTCAATCCACTCAGCCCAAGAGTTCCTCAATTCCATCAAGGACATAAGGATAGATGACGACGAGACCATGGTATCATTTGATGTTACTGCCCTATTCACATCAATAGACATGCCACTAACAAGAGAAACAATGACAGCACTACTAAAACAAGAACAAGATCCTAGTGAAACCAACTCCACAGACAACACGTTGAAGCTACTGGACCTGTGCCTCACCACCCACTTCACCTTTAATGGCCAAATATATGAACAGATCAACGGGACACCCATGGGATCACCTATCTCCGGACTAATAGCTGAAGTGGTGATGTAGAGACTTGAAAGTACAGCCCTTCTGCTAATCCAACCAAAACTATGGATACGCTACGTGGACGACACCTTCGTCATTATTAAATGGACCAAACTAGAGGAGACATACGAACTAATAAACAACACCCTCACCGGGACCAGATTCACCAGAGAACAGGAGAAGAACAAACAGCTCCCATTCCTGGACGTCATGGTGGAAAGCAGGACAAATGGGGAATTCCTAACAAAGGTACACAGGAAAGCCACACACGCTGACCAAGTACTGAATTTCAACAACAACCACCCTAACACACACAAACGAAGTTGCGTGAGAATATTATTTAAAGGGGCAACAGCACACTGCAGCAGCACAGAGCTACGCCAAGAAGAAGAAGAGTATCTCTTCCAAATATTCAAAAACAATGGATACCCAAAACAACTGAGGCAGAAGATGTCTATTACACGAACGACACCAGGAAGATACTACATGCCCTGACACACTCATCACGCTACCTTACATCAGGACCACACCTGAACTGACCACAAGGCTCCTACGACCACTGGGCATCAGAGTAGCACACAAACCCACATCAACCCTACGACAACTGCTCACTCAAACCAAAGGCCCACTACCCACTATGGACAGGACCAATGTCATATACAAGATTCCCTACAGAGACTGTGACAAACATTACATTGGACAAACAGGAAGGAAATTAACAACAAGGGTACATGAACATCAACTGGCAACAAAAAGACACGACCAGTACTCACTCATCTCTATCCACATGGATAAGGAAAACCACCAATTCGACTGGGACAACGCCAGGATCCTGGGGCAGGCAAAGCAGAGACAAGCACGGGAATTTCTAGAAGTTTGGGTCTCTACTAAGAAAGCCATCAATAAACACATAGAGCTACACCCCATATAAGCTCCATTGTGAAGGAAAACCAGAAGTGAGGTAAACCAGCTCAACAGACTCCAGAGTTTAAACAACAGGCGGGAAAACACAACAACACTTTATCAGAGCTGCACTAATGATGTTACCCAGCAGGGTAATGAAACTTCTGCGCACTAACGAACCAGCTCGGTGAGCCAACCAACCACAACACCCACAACCCAAGCTACAAATCTACTCTAAAACCTTAGAGGGTTACACATTCTACCTTCTATTCCTGAAACTTCCTAAAATCTATGGAATTTTGAAAGATCAAATGAATACGGCTAATCATTTGCTTGGAGAAGTGAGAGTATGCTCACTATGGAAGGTGTATGAGTTACATATGGCTTTTGGCTGGCCTAGTATGAGTGGGTTTTACTTTTATCTTTATGATGAAGAAAATGAGTGTACGATTAATTCTATAAGTAACTTCTACAAAAATAAAGAAATATACATACATTGGTTACTAAATCAAGAGGGCAAGCACTTGCATGTCCATAGCAGATGCACATCCCACCGATAGAAATGTCTTTCAGCGTGTAGTAATACTAAAAGGGACAAAAAGACAAACGTTAAAAATGTTAATGTGTTAATGTTAATACCTTACTCTGATATGCTCATTGCTACGACTAAGGTTGGATGCACAAATTCCTTTTCTCATCCCATTCCAACACTGGTCAAAACGAAGTTTTAATTTAACTAAGTTGTGATACAGCCAATTATTTAGGTCTCAGAATATATTCAGACAAGAATTACAAGTAACTTAGGGCGTTGGCTGACTCAGTTGGCCGGATGGCCAGTTTGCAGTGTGATGATGCCAACAGCATTCACTTCGCACACTGGCTGAGGTTACCATAGTTACCATGAACAGCTCTCAACCAGGTGTCTCTCTCTAATAAAAGAGCAGCCCTGTGGTCTGGTGACTTTACTTTTTACAAACAAGTCTCACACACACACACACACACACACACACACACACAGTGCGCACGTTTGAGGAAAAGTGCTTTGATCAAGTGACAATTAAACCCAGCAGAAAAGGATGTCACAGATTCTACCAAATGGTGTTTTGTATCCAAGGTTAGCCCACACATTCATGCTATTCACATCGGTTAATCTTCCTGGACCAGCTGCAGCTGGCTGAATTCTCTTTGCTGCAGGCAATGAGGCAGATTCAGAAATCCTCTTCAGCACCTTCCAATGGTGGCAGTGATGACTTCTAGTGGGTTTTCAGCTAACACACTTTTCTGAGAGAAGTATAGAAACAGCAAGGGAGAAAAAGTTGGTGCTCTTCGGGCATAATATTTCAAAACCTCTCTGACTGAGTTCAAAATGAAATAACCTTATTCTACCCACAAACTCTGTCATGTGAACTCTCTCTGAAAGTCTTGTAAACTGGATTGTCCGTTGAAATCCTGTTCCTTACAAATGTTGGCATGTTTCATTCTATCTTAATTTGTGTTCAGTTAAATAAAATAGAAACACATTTTAGAATTTAAGAAAGGAGAGTGAGCTACAAACTATATAAAATGCTTCATACTAAATCGAAGAAACCATTCCAAAATGCTTCTGGTCATTGGCAGGGAAAAAGTAGGCAAACTAGTGCTGCCTCATGTTGGTGTTTGATGATGAATGATTAAGCATTTCTAATATCAATAGCCATTTATACTGTGATATACATATTACTAATAATCACATACCGTGGCACCTGATATAGTAAATTTCAACTGTTAGATACTATAGCTACCCACATGGTAATTAGGAACCAACAATTTCACCCGATCCCAAATGATCAACATTGGAATGTTTGGATATCAATATTAAAAATCATTATCCAAGGTTAATACTTGCAATGGAATTGTTCATTGGTATTTCAATGTTCACACCCACTTCACAGCAAAATATCATGAACAACGATAAGAACACGACACTTTTAGTCAAATTAGTAATTAGGCCAGTTGTCCTACAGCTTTGTATTAAATCCAAAATTCTAAAAACTTTCATGGCAATTTTATTTATTATCATTTTTATTGAAATCAGCTTCATAATGTGTTATAGTGGGATTTAAAGTCAACTTCTGGATCATTAGTTTCGTAAAATAATCGCTACGTTACCACACCTTATCTTCCCAAATTACTTTTTAAACTTTGCCTATCCAATGTGTAAGGTGCAACAATATATAACTCAAGTCTGTTGACTTTGCTCTACTTAAAATCCCAGTGATCAGTCTCTAGAGAGTGGAACAGCTGCATTTATTTTGTCAGTATCCTGAATATTGCGCAAGTTTGAGTTAGCTGAAAGAAACTTCCAAATTAAGACATGGAATGGCTCATATATTTAACAAACCAGAAATGAAGTTCAATTAAACATTATTTTCATGAGAAACTTCATAAAGGAAAAGGATTTTAAAAACATTTAGAGATCAATCAAAATAAACCTATAAAAGCTAAATTATTGAATGTAATTTGACTCAGTGTTAAATATTAAAGACAAGAAGTCTCACCCTTCTTGTAACAATAGGATCAATATCTTTTGGATCATTGTATGCCAGTGTCATCAGATCAGCATTAAGCGTTCTTATTCTTTCAAGCCTCAGACGAATATAGCGAGCTGAAGTGAACTCCAGTAAAGTCGGGGATGGATCTTCAGCACTTGGTCTTCCATTGATAAGGGAAGTATGAATCTGAACATGAAAAAAAGCAAAATTAATATTCATAAGCAAATATTCAAATTTACCTTCACCCAAAACATCTGCTGACATTCATGTCATTGAGTTAAACAGCACTGAAACAGGCCCTTCGGCCTGCCACGGCTACGCTAACCACAAAACACAAAACTAAACTAATCCCATTTACCTGCCAACTGTGCCCTCATCCAGATGCTTCTTAAATGTTGCAAGAATACCTGCCTTCACCATCTCTCAGGCAGCATGTTCCATACTTCTCCAACCCTCTGGGTGAGAAAAGTTTTTCTCAGATCTCCTCTAACCCACCTACTCCTCACTTTAACCATGCCCTCTGGTCTTAGATACATCTTCCATGGAAACAGATCTATATGTCTATGCTTCTCATAATTTTCTATACCTCAGTCAGATCCCACACCCTTTCCCACCAGCCTCATTTGCTCCAAGGGAAACAAACCCAGCCTGTCCAGTCTCTCCTCACAACTGAGACTTTTCATCCCTGGTGAATTTCCTCTGCACTCTCTCCACTGCAATCACGTCCTTCCAGTAGTATGGGGGCCAGAACTGCACACAGTATTCCACCTATGACCTAACCAATACAGAGGTACAACACCTCATTTTCCGCCTGGGAACACTACAGCGTTTAGGACTTGTTATGTTGCATAAATGTCAGCTATCCTCCATTTCGATTACAAAGCCCCACCCTAGCCTGGTCTTGTGTCTTGTTGACTTTGCTCTGAGCACAGCTGGCTCATTTCCTCCTTTTCACAGTTTACAACACTTTACACTTCTATCATTCTGTAATCACCATTACCACTCAATTTGTCTTTCGCTCTCAGCACTGTCCTATCTCTACCAATTGCTCCTCCTCCTCTGTTAACAGGTTAATTTTTTTTTAATTAAGCTATCTTTCTAATCAACCTGTTCAAAGATGTTATTACACATCTCTGTAGCAAGTAGGACTTGAACCTGGATCTCCTGGTCCAGGGGTAGGAACATGACCAATGCATCACAAGAGGCCCCCTGTGAAAAGCTTGAAAAGCAGAATGTTCAGCCCCTTTTATGTCCATCAAAAGTCTACAGATATGTCCTTCATTCTCTAAACATATCCAAATATTAATGACATTACTCAATGAGATCATTAAGCATATTCATTTTCCAGAACCAGGGGTCACAAGTTAAGAACACGGGCTAGGCCATTTAGGATTGAGATGAAGATCTCTTCACACAGAAAATGTTCAGCCTGTGGAATTCTCTACCACAATTGGCAGCTAAGGCCAAGACATTGTTTTTTTTTTAAGAACAGGTTAGATATAATTCGTGACATTAGAGGGATCAAAGTGTATGAGGAAAAAGTGGGAACACAGTACTGATTTGGATGATTAGCCTTAATCATATTGAATGGTGGAGCAGGCTTGAAGGGCCAAATGGCCTATTTCTCCTCCTATTTTCTATACAATGCACTGACATCTAACTGCTTAAATAACCGTGCAAAACAATCCATACTTTAAAACAGGCCATCATCTTATACCATAGAACTGCTTCACTTATTAAATTATCTGTAAATGGTATTTTTCAAAAAACTAATTCACAAATCATATTTGACCATTGTGCTGTAATAACAGCTCTTTAATACGCAAACAATTGCACAGTGGTTCACAGATGGTTGAAGTAATTATACGTCTGGAACCGGAGACATTATTTATTTGGATTACTTCTTTCATTTATTTTGAACAAGGGAGTTAATTTCAAAGTAATGAAGCTTCAGCAAATATTTTCTGGTATAATGTAAGCAGCAAGGAACAGTTCTAATTTACAAATGCTAAACAAAGGACTTGGTCCAGTTACAAATGTCTTAATTCCTCTCCAGTGTAGACATTTTCACATTATGATCACTGTGTCAACATAATATGCTTCCAGATGTTGTTTTCATAGGGTTATTCAATACTTGGCAGCTATGCAATCAACACAGCTGGTTGATCACCATATTGGCAAGTGGCATGTTCGGGGAAGCAGGGAACAGCTGATTGCCTTACTGTGGATGGGCTCACAACCTAAGCTGAATTTGCCATTCTATTTCCATTTGTTCCTTTGTGTCTTACGCCACTGAGTATTTGGATTTAACAGGAGGGAACATTTGAAAATGTCTCTTCTTAGCACTGCTCCAATAAACTGAATCAAAGAGTAATAGTGGAACAAATTTCTCCATTTACAACAGCACTTATGGTGGAAAACTCAATCTTAGAGATCAAAAACAGCACAAATCAGTTTTCTGACATGCTTTCATCACAGATTAATTTTCAAAGCGAGAGGACGCAAGGCTGAATTATTGATATCTCAGAACTGTGGAAGAAATGCAATAAATCTAACCACTTCAAAATCTTTTGAAATAGCTGTAATAAGGGATCATTATACATAAGCGTGGATGCCCTCCTTGATCCCCATCTACTGGAAGTAACTTTGCTCTCACAGGAATGACTGTTTCAGATGATTGTCAATGAAGATTTAAAAATTTCACAGGGACTATTTTCCTTGGGTCTACATCAGATAGAGGGATTGCCAAAATATTTGCATGGCAATAAGTATGGCTACCAGATTTGGCCAAGACAGGGATAGATTGAGGTTTGAATTTGTAAGGGAAATCACAGCTTTGAAAAGGGCTAAGCCTTCATCATCTCCTTACAAAGTCAGTGATGAAGAAATGGTGAGGATTCGTAAGGACAAGAATTTACACTACGTTAGGACCTGGTATGAGGTTGGTAGGAATAGAGGTTGACGTCATGGCCCAACCCTTTATCAGGGCCAGCAGATCCAAGGGGTGTGACAAAAAGAAAAGTATGAAAGCAGTTTCCACTCGGTGCAGCTAAATAGCTATCATGTGCTCTGTGGTTGTTTCTGCTGGGGACACTGTATGAACCATCAGAAACTTGCTTTTCCTGACCCTGACCCTTCATCTCACAAATATCGGGATGGTTGCAGTGGGTACATCTGCCATTGACTCTGCCAGGAAGTTGTAGCCCCCGCCAATTCACTGGGTTATATATCCTGAGCTTTCCTGTAGCAGTTCTTAAATTGTGTGTGGCCCTTCCCTTCATGTATGAATCCAGTCCATATGTTATCTACTGTAATTATCTACTGTAATTTATTCAGTGGACTCACCGGTGATATCAGGTCACACTGCACATAGGCAATGCTAGGTGCAAGTCAGTTACCTGCAGTAGCCTTTATCCATTCTGTTTACATTTACCTATAAATACAGTATTTTAGAAAGTACTGATGACAATACAAGCAACATCAGCATTTGTAAGTGTAGCTTAACTTCCAGCCTTACCTCACCGTTTTCCAGAGGTTGAATTTTCGAATAGAATGAGGTGCAAATAATTTCATCATCCGATGTATATGTTGGGTTACCTGGTCGAGGCACAATGTTGTAGCGAGTAGAACATTCTGTATCCGTTATGGCATAGTACTGCCATGGTTTGTAAATGATTCCATCAATGGAACGTTCTAAAATCCAATTCCCAGGGCGTGGAGAATTGGCTGCTTTTATTATAACATATGCAATCTGGAACACCTGTAAAACAATTTAAAATTTAGCAGCTCAGACTAATTTAATACAAAAATTCCAATAATAATTATATAACAGTACATATATCTTATTTGTGACTGATCTATGAAACTGAAGGTTTTTAGAACAGTTTAAAGAAAGACTTTCTTTGCGAAGGTTCTCTTTTGAAATAACTTTAAGCATACATTTCAACCAACACAGAAATAGTTGCACTAAACATTTTTGAAGCCATTGACATAGACATTAATATGTGACAAATTCTGATGCCAGTCTGCAGCTAATGCTTTTTTTCCTTAACAAATCACTATCCAAATATTCATGACTATACCAGATAGATGAATACATCAGTATCCACAACGTCATATTTCAGATCTTTTATTAATTATTCAGCAATTTCAGCTTTATATTATTGGGTGCTACAGTTTTTTTTTATTGATCTCTAATATTGAGCATTGTGTTCGTGGGCATTATATCAACACTCAGACTTCTGTGTAATCAGTAACTTATAGACAGAAAATCATTTGACAGATGTTAACCTAAAAACACATCCCACAAATGAATAAAACATATATACTGATAACCTACAGCTCACTTTATCTGTGTTGCACCAACTGAAGAAGCGAAGATGTTATTATGTACTATGGCTACCAAATAAGCATTTACCTAGTGTACACAAAATTAGAGAAAATCTAAGAACAGGTCATCACCACTTACAGTCGGCATGATGTACTTGCCATATGATTGTCCATGTGACATGATAGCCAGATGCTGGAGAACATTTAAAACAACATTGCATTGGAAGTCAGCCCCACACACAGAACAGACAATGTCTGCATATCTAACTGTGTTATTCTGCATTCTTTCACAGAGGCTCTTTTAAGGTGCAAAGAGATCCATTTTTCATAGTAAATCAACCACGTTTTAACAAAGAAACATGGACATTTTAAGTGATGAAGGCTGTGCTGCTGTGGGGAAAAAATAGCCTATTTTTGGACACATGGGTGGAATTTTCCTGTCCTCAGGATGGTGTGGGCAATGGTGAGAAAATTAAGAAAATACAGGCCATTAAAAAAATCTGATTTGCAACGTTGAGAACTTTTTTTTCAGATTTCCTACTTAAACTTTAAATGGCGACTTCAGAATCTTGCTATTGGGCAGCAACTTCCATATTTCCATACGTTTCCATCTCAACCAGCCCAACTAGACTCATTTATGTGCCACATCCAATTCTCCTGTCCTTCCCTGAGATGTAAGATGGCAAAAATTCCACGAAGTCCAAGGAGTTACCTGGCAAGTGCAGCTTACCAAGTTTTGTCCCAACCATTACCCAACCCTGTGTTCACAATAATGTCCCTACATGCTCCATGGCTGCCATCCTCCTTGACTCTTCATCCATGCAAGTTGACATTGGCAAGCCAGCAGCCTCACCACATCATTATGCCTACTGCTCAAACCAAGTCACACACTGCTGCAGCACTTCAACACTGTACCTGGCAGCTCAAAGATATCTACAATCTGCATACTTCTGCCTGGTTGTTTCGCATGTAGGGCCATAGACTCAGCTCATCGATCTGCATACATACATCTTATGGCACTTAGCTTCATTTCATTGTGCTTACCTATTTTGTGCTTAATTGGAGGCTGCCAGCCTCTGTGGCTTGCATTGTTTTTTAGTGTGCAGTTCCTTCATTGCTCAGCTAGTGGTTGTTTGTAGCATGCATTTTTGGCACAGAGGGAGGAATGGGCAGTTATTACGTGGGAGCACTGATCAGTCAATGGAGTGGACATCTCATTGCATGGCACCAGGCTACATCGTACCTGCAGTGTGCGCAAACTGTTTGTATGGCAGATACACCGCATGTGCTTCAAGCAAATGGCCATGTATGTAAGTCAAAGAGAAGCAGCCCGTAATGGGGTCAAAAGGGACTAAAGTCAGTCAGGGGATGGTGCCACAGTCATTCAAGGGCCTCAGTCGACTGCATGATGGGAAACTGGCCATAGTCTGTCAGGCAATAGGTCCTACCAGAGCCTAGCAGTTGGGCCACGGTCAGTTGTGAAGATCAAGCACAACCAGTGCAGTGACTAAAGCAGGTCAGTCAGGGTCCTGTGGGGATATCAGTCTGGAGACTGGACTGTCATCAGACAGGCTGGTAGGTACAGCCATGGGGAATTCCTCACTAAAGGTCAGGAGGCGATCCATGAAAACCTCTGGAAAGCAGGTAACTCAGGTGTGGGAATGGCTGTCATTACACTAGGCCCCTGAGGGAATGATTACAATACAAAGGGATAATTCAAGGCATGGTCTCACTGATCAAAAGAGGGATAACAAGTTCCAGAAAGGCAGGGGGATTCTCTCAGGTCACAGTAAACAGGTGACCATGTAGGGCTGGGCCAATAACAGCATGGCAATTCACCAGGGCCTATGGCTTTGTGAAGTAACGTAAGGGGATTAATTTGTGTATGAAAGGACTCAACAGAAATGGTGAGGAAAGGGCAAAAGCTAGTAACACAAATGGAAACATGAAGGATGGAGAAGGATCATTATGCATCTCAGGAGGATTCTTCAAGTCACTCACAAGTAACACAAAGTTGTAATGCACAACTTTCAATGAAAGTTGTAAATTTTGCAACCAAAGTTGTAATTGTGATGGATGTGAGGGCTCAAGAATTCCTTTGATAAAGTGACAGTGTACAAGGAAACAGCATTTACAAGTTTAAGTTTATTGAAGGAACTTCTGAGCCCTCTGCTCCATCACTTGAAGCGTTATGTTATTCCCTCAGACAGTCTGGCACAGAGCTTTCCCAAGGTGGTCAATGTTATGCCTCCACAAGAAGTTCTAAGGTATGTCACTTTCTCCAAATCTATGTTGCACACAAAAATATTCCTGCCACACTAGGGGAGCAGAACTCTGCCAATAATCCAATATAGCACCCCAACCCCAAGAAAAGGCACCCTTACACATGACAGATTCTATGCCTGCATACTAACAGTTAGTGTGCAAATGGGACAGGTGAAGTGCTGTCTTCACATCTTTGCTTTGCAATGTTTTTCTGATAGGAAAGACTAGGAGACAAGTTTTAGTACGTTTGTCTGATCACCTCTGCTTAACTGATATGACAAGGAGACAATTAGCATTCACAATGTAATGGGCAAGGTTCCATGTGTCTATAATTCGTAATGTGCATGATGTTTAAATTGATGCCAAAGGGGTGGTATTACTGAATCATTGCCATCATGGTTATTGCAAATGCACCTTGTAGAGCCTCAAAAGAGAGTAACTGATTCCACCGCTTCGCACATGGCGTCAGACACTTGTGCAGTTATCGTACAATTGGTTTTCCAACCGAGATGGCAAGGTTCCAACTTTGAGTTCTCCTAATCCACATCCCCACACCCCCTCTCCCCAACCCCACCCCCCATCCTTCACATTCCCTTTCACTTTGCTGTCCCTGTGGCCTTGATGTCCTTTCAGCATCATGCCCACCCCACAACCCCAATTCTGTTGGGCTCCTCTATATAAAAATATTCATGTCCCATTTTACTCACATTGCCCATGGCTTTGCAAATTCACATGCCAGTGTTGGGTTTATGCTGTCCCATACAGAGGTCCAAGTTATGGTGATACGTGATTTCCAATCCCCCTACCCCAGCTAGGAGCTCCCAATCCCTTCCTATGCTCCATATGAATTGCCCCCTTTCAGGGTAATCATCTACATAGTGGCCTAGCGCAATGAACCTCATCACCAGACCTGAGTTGCCTGTTTTTTGTAAGACTCTATGGACTGCCCACTGATTAGCCTCGAGGCACTATTTCCCAACCCCCAGCCTGCATGAGCACAGATCCCCAAACTTTAGTGGGATCAAATACTTGATTCCCCGTGGCAAAGCCCATGGACTGGAATTGACAGAGCCCCTTTCTACTATCTACTTTTGTTCCCTTTGACAATCCTAAAGATTGCTCTCCTTTGACTTTCAGTCATTTTGACCATTTGGTTGAAGTATAGGCAGTGCATGAACTGCTGGCACAGACTTCAAGACTGATGTTGACGTTGAATGATACTGTAGAGTGATATGTCCACTCCCTTCACTGCTTCATGATCCCCACCATCAAAAGCTGCCTGCTTCTCCCTCTGCGCTCAAAAGCAATGCAAACTACAGAAACTGATCGTCTATAATTGAGCACTGTAGTCTCTATGCACCAAAAAAAGCAATAAATAACACAGACCTGGCAGCTTCGAGGAAAGCACTAAGGTGAGCAAGTGCTAAGAAATGAAGTTAAGAGCCAAATGATACGTCCTCTTTAGAGATGTGTGATGCATGTACCCCAGCGAACTAAGTGACCCGACAGAAACGTACAAGTTGGCAGTATCTCTGAGCTCCAAAGTTGACTGTTGAAGAGCTGATGTGGCAAGATGATATAGTGAGGCTGGCAATTTGCACATGCTGGCTTGATTTGATTTGATTATTTATTATTGTCACATGTACCGAGGTACAATGAAAAGTATTGTTTTGTGCACAGCACAGGCAGATCAATACCATACAAAGTGCACTAGCGTAACAGAACAGAGCAAAGAATACAATGTTACAGCTGCAGAGAAGGTGCACAAAGAGTGAGATCAACAGTAAAATTTAAAATTTGAGAGATCTATTAGGAATTCTAAAAACAGCGAAGAAAAAGCTGGTCTTGATTCTGTATGCCTCCTGTCCCAGTAGAGGTCGGAACATCCTTGACCATTGCTACACTACCATCAAAGATGCCTACCACTCCGTACCCCAAACGCATTTTGGAAAATCAGACCACAATGCTTGGTTCCTCCTTCTGGCTTACAAGCTGAAATCGAAATGCAAGAATCCACTACAGAAAGCAGTACAGTGCTGGTCTGAGGCAACAAAGTGCTTCTACGGAACTGCTTGGAATCGACGGACTGAACTCAGCGGCCAACCTAAATAGGTATGGGGCAAAAAGGGTGCAACGTTCCGTGGGAGAGCCAGAGATGGGTGAAGG